CCACCTGCCCCAGCAGCATAAATTCTTCTACCAAAATCCAGGCACGCTCCAGAAAGGTGGCTTTGCAGTGAAGAGTTTGATATTGCACATTAATAGCATCAAACAATGATTTCCTTGATTCCTAGGACAGCAAATGCTGGAGAAGAGAGTAGGGGAGCAAAAAACTCAAGTGGAACACAGCTTTTTTTAGATGCTTCTAAGGTTTGGATTGTTTTCAATAGCCCTACTTAAAAAAAAGAAAAAAAAAAAGGCATTTTACAGCAGTTACTATAAGGCAGTTAATACAAAAATTAATTAAAAAACTCTAAGTAATGAAAATGGCTTAAATTAAACCTGGAGAGTAGGTGGCCATGGGGAGAGTATTCTGAAATGTTACCTAGATCAAGCTTTTTTTGTTTGTGTGTTGTCAGAGCCAGGGATTTAAATCCAATTGTCAGCTGCCTGTGCCACAACAAAGCAGCAGCTATTTGTGTTCAGGTCCTCATGTCTGTCCCTCCTCCTGGCCCAGAAAGTGGCCTGAGACTCCCAACATCTCTTACCGAAAACTCCCCCTCAGCCTCTTCATTTCAAGCCTGCTCTGCCTTTAGTGCCGAGGGGGTTTTTGTTGGTTGTGAAAGACTCAACAGTGAGGCAAAAAGCTCATTCCAGTGGGACAGCACAGCGAGTTTCCCCCTCTTCAGATGACTTTTCAGTTCTTTATAACATCCTACTGATTCCTCATTACCCTTCCAAATAAACACAAGTGATGGAATTGCACTTAAGGATGAAATGGCGAATTCCAATTTGAGAGGAGCTCGAGGCTCTGCACAATTCAGCTGTTCAGAGAAGACAGTTAAAGTTCTGACTGGGAAATTCAGACCATTACATGCTTTACACACGAATGCCCACACATACCTGATGTATTAGTGTGTTTTCCCCCCACGATATTTTTCCATTTTCTGCACAAATTGAATTAAAGGTTGAGAATAACTTGGGTGAGAGCCACAGGGGTTTGTTTTCTTGGAAATAAATATCAAAACTTGGGTATCTTTTCCTTCTTTGTCCTTCTGTACATGTGAACAACCAGCAGATCAGGTCAGTCTCTGCTTTCTAGTCAGAACAAACAATTTAAAGGAACTGGCTGTGATGCTCCTGCTTGTTTTAGTTTGGTGATAATGGCTTGGTAATGACAGTCTGTAAGTCACTATCAGCATTTTAACATCTTCTATGGCAATTCCAGAGGTATTTAATTTGCTCCTTGGTATATGAAAGCTGTTCCTGCTGAGCATAATGTGTTCAATATAATTCTTACTCAATTACTAGAAGCACACTGTAGAAATTGTTGAAACTTGGTAAGGGAGCTGCAACACACCCAATATGGCCATTTACCATTTCCCTTCTCATTTGTCTTGCACATTTAGCTGTTGTCACAACTGCAAGTGCAGTTTGAGAAGGGGTTGCAATTATTTGTAATTTTACATATTGATGTGTTTTTTAAAGCTGCTTTTTGTCCTCTTTCTTTCTGCAATATGTCTCCATAAGTCTTAGCACAGTGGGATGCAATTATGGTCTCTTACTGTTGCTAAACCCCAAAGAATTACTGAAGTGTTGCTGTAATGAAAATGATCCTTTTCCACTTCTGAGCTGACACACCTTGTTATAGAAGCTGCAGGAGAGAACTGTGGAACACGAAATAAATGACATTGCAAAGGATTTCTCATCGTTAAAATCTGCCTTTAAAATTTCTGTAGTTTTGACTGGTTTGGGTACACTTCTACAGCACAGTCTGAGGTCAGTGATCTGTTACTGAAAGAATGATTTCTAACGTGAAAAAATTTTGTAAAATGCCAGGATTTCAGCTGCACACCAAGGTTTTGGGATGAGCCAGGGAGGACCAGTGCTGGACAGGAGAAGCTGAGGAAAACACGCTGGGGAAGCAGCAGGACAGGGAAGAGAAAGAACTGTTTCTGCTGAGGGAAGGAACCGGTTCCAAGAGGTGAGAATCCCCTCTGGAATCTCATCCCTGGCTGTGCCCTGCGTTGGGAGCTGGGCACCCCAAGTGCAGTACTGACATTCCCTGAGGAGTGGGTGGAGGGAGGCACAGCCTGAAGTATCAGCAAAGCTGCCAGCAGAAAGCAGCAGTCGTTTGCTGGTTATTTTATCTGGGTTTGTGTGTGTGTTTTATCCAGCTGGGTCAGAACTGTTCCTTTTTACCGATGTGAGAGCTGAAATTTCAGTCCTTGGTGTTGTGGGAACATCTGGAATGATTCCTGTAAACAACAGGTGACAAAGGGCCTCCAGAGAGCACAGTGTGTTTAGGAAACCTAAATCTTTCTGGAAAATCTGTCCAAATCCTCCAACCTGGCAGGAACAAAAGTTTTGGGTTTTTTTTTGGTTTTTTTTTTCTTTGTGGGTTTTTTTGTGTGTTTTTTTTTTTTTTTTTTTTTTTGTTTTTTTGTTTGTTTGTTTGTTTTTTTGTTTGTGGTTTTTTGTTTTGTTTTGTTTTGTTTTGTTTTTTTGTTTTTTTTTTTCTGTGGATTTCTGGTCCTGCTTTTTTGTACAGAGCAAGTTAAATTGTGTTTGCCTCAGGGGGGAGGTGGACCCACCATAACAACCACGTGGGGATGGAGTTCTTGGGGGGTGCAAGTCAAAATGCTGCTTTCTGTCTGCTCAGCTGCAGTTTCTTCTCAGCTTGCCTCGAGTCGTGGGAAGATTTTGTTTATTCCTTAGCAGCCTCTGTTCAGTATCTCACATTTCCCTCTTAAATATCTGGTGGTAGAAACTTCTGGAAACATGGTGCAGACTAAAGGGACTGTGTATTTATTTATGCAGTGGCCTCAGCCATGTTTTTGTGGTGTGGTTTGGTTTTTTGGGGCCCTTTCCCCCCGTCTCCCATCCAAGCATCATTCTGTGTATTAAATACACTATGGAGTGCTGGTGTCTGGGGATCTCCCTGCACATGGAAAGGAAGCCATAGATTTTGGAGCTATTGAAATACAGGGAAGCTCAAATCTCTACAGCTATTCCAGACAGCCTTTGAAACACTAAAGCAAGTTTTATTACAGAGATTAGTTTACATTACACTCATTTATTAAAACCTAAGGACATCTTTATAAAAACTACTGTATATAAAGACAAGAGCAGTGCAATAGCAGTGTAAAACACATTTTTGGTTTACTTGGCAATCACTTTAGAAAGACAACATGATTCATAATATGAAGTCAGAGAATGCTGCAAAAAATAGGACAGGATTAGATCCAAAACTAGATTAGCAAATCACTGGACACTGGCACGTACTGATTTCAAACATCAAGTGTTATGTAAACAGTATTATTGTCAATGTATTGATAAAGAGAAATCACTGCAACCCTAAAATTTCTAGTTAGCTTAATTAGCCTAAAGTTTGTCTGCTGACTATTAAAATAGACTATTGTACTGTATATATTCTTAGTGATTTACTACTTTTGTAAAAGGAGGACTAGAAGAAATGCCTGTCTTGCAGAAGAGGATTGTTTGAGGCTGAGAAAAGGTGTTTCTTCCTGGCGAGTGGCTGAGGTTTTGTTTTTGCTGCTTTATACCTTTCATACACCATCACTGGTGGTGAAATGGAACTGACTCTAAAAAATCATTTTGACCTGTTGCTTCTTCAAGTGGACAGTCCTCATACAGAAATTACAGTAAAACTATAAAAAACAGTTATCTAAAAGAGCTGCTACAATATGCTGAAGTAGACATTGAGAGGCCGGATTGTTTTCACTCTGTTTTTGTAAAATTGATAACCAGGCACAAAAGATGGTTAATTACAACACCAAGTCCTGCACAAGCTTTATAACTTATCTTTTTATGTCCTACGTTATACACAGCAATTATTAAGAAGTTGGACACTGAGTTCTCAGTAAAACTGAAGAGAGAAAATGAGTTGGACAAGGAAGGAGGTTTCTGGAGCATGAGGGTCATTAACAGCCACTGAGACAGACAGCTGTCATTGTAACATAGGCTGTAAATGTTAATTTTAGATCCCTTATTTTTCCAACCAGATCAGGATGGACACGGAGGAAAATATATCTATTTTAGTGCAGATTCTTTCTTACAGAGAAAGGTTGTGTTTGAACCGGTCTCTGCAGGAAAAAAGTGAAAAGTTCATTGCAGTTTATCTGGTTCACCATGATTTTGATGAAGTAAAAGCAGGGGGTATCAGAGCCCAGCTACAGAGATGGCTGAGGTGTTGAGGGGACTGTTTGTGCAGCCAGTGCTCTTCTACAGTGTCCCAAACACTGAGGGAGAAGTGCAGGTAGGGAATCACATGAAGTGCACTATTTCCCTGGAGTTTAAGGCCCAGCTAGCATTAGTCTTACTCAGGATCTTGTATTCTGCTAAAATAGAGAGACTATCAGGTGATTCTAAGAACACATTTGGTGAACTGCACTTCACCAGCTACAACAGGGATTTATCCATAAATTAACTGGGAGGCAAAATGAGAATTTCAGCCAGAGAGTATCTACCTCCTATTAACTGGCTCTGTATAGAGCATAAAAGAAAACAAACAAACAGAAAAGCACATCCATTACAAGGTATACGTGTACTAGAAGGAAAGCATAAAACTGCTCAGTTATAACACACAATTCCCAGAGGGAAAAAAACCCTTACAAAATACAGTAAGTCACACAAACCAGTATCTAATACAAATTCCTCCATGAACATAAGCTTTTTACAAAGCTCTCTGTGTGGCAGTCTTCACCTCACAATGGTAGTAGGTGCTGGCAAAAAGGGAAAAAAGCCAAGAGTTACTGCAAAGTGCCCAGGTGAGACTGATTACTCTAGATATGCACTTTTTTGGGTGTAGATATGTGTTTTTTTGAGTGTCTGCAGGGATTACTGTCCTTGAAGACAATGAGGGAGTGTGGAGAAGGTGTGATGTTGGCAGAGCCATGGATAGCATTGCCTCCAGCTCCCTGGTTTCCTTTGCTTTCCTTGTGGGCTGGCACTAAGAGCACCACCTTCCAGCTCACAGGATCAGCTCTCCCACCCCCGGGAGCACAGACCCTTGCCCTGCAGAATCCCTCATCCTCAAGGAGAGAGCATTCTGGACTGTCTGCCAGGATCTGCAAGGTACTTACAGCATGTCTTTGCTGAGGGTCCTTTTTGCTCCCAGCCGAAGTGCTTTGGATGGTTCTGCAGTGCCCTGATGACATATTCTTTTTGGAAGGGTTTGCAGTGCCCTGATGACATATTCTTTTTGGAAGGGTTTGCAGTGCCCTGATGGACATATTCTTTTTGGAAGGGTTTGCAGTGCCCTGATGGACATATTCTTTTTGAAAAACTAGAAGAATCTCTGCGGTTTAGTGTGAATCAAGGTCTAAAAAAATACCGGCCCTGTTTTATTTGAAGTGCTGTGTCACTCACAGTGCCAAACAGCCCAGCTGCACTGGGGCAGCCCCTCTGGGGCTCTACAAGCTGAGTTGTTCACTCAGGAGCTTCTGTGATGAGTGAGAATGGGCCAGGCATCAAGCTCAGCTAGGACAGGATGGAGTCTGATGCCCCCAGGGTGGCACTCCCCCCTGTGGCATTTGAATTCTTTCTCTTAGCTGTGGCCTGTCCTTGCTCAGTGACACCAGGCAAGTTTAGGACTTGGTTTGTTAAGAAAAGGGGCTTGTGCATGCTGGTATCCTGCTCAGATTTTGAAGGCTGGGCACTCTGGTGATCTCCAGCCTTGTTGGGTCCTCCAACACAACTTATTCCTGCCTGGTTTTAGTCAGGTACCATCCTGCACTCCAGTAGCCATGAATTAGTTCAGATCACTCAGAATAGTGTCCCTTTTTAAGTTCAACAGGAGAATAAAATTCACTCAGCCAAAGAGGTCCAAAAGGAAAACTTGATTATTATGCATTGACCACGTGTCCCCTGTGTTGGCTGTACAGCAGAATGTATGGTCACTTCAAAGTTATTCAGATTTACAGGGCAAAATATTAGGCCTGAAGGATTAATTTGGCATTATCAGGGCTTTGTGTTATGACTTCCAGATGAACTCCTCTGTTTGGTTGCCACTGCCAGGTTCTCCACATATACAGCTTAAATAATTGAACTTCACAGGGTTTGCCCACGTAATTGATACTGGGGGATTTTAAAATAAGTCTGTCCTGTGGAAAGTTGTCACCCTATTGCAACCTGGTGACCAAGTACTTCTGTGGTAGCATCACTGTCCTTCTGGCTCACAAATGAATTCTTAGATTTGTGAGGTGTAAACTCTGAAGCCAGTCAGTGACTGAGAGAGTTGGACTATTGTCTTGTAAAGCAAAGAGAAAATGGTATTATTGCTTTTGAAATACACAGCTGGCCAATTTTTTTGTTTTGTTTTGTTTCTTTTTCATCTCCAAGGAGTGTGAGGGTGGAATTGGGTGCCTGTGTTGCTTCCTAATAAAGCTCCCCTCTTGAAGAGGGTGTGTGAACCTGAACTTGAGATGTGCTCAGCTGCTTGATGTCTTAGCAGAATCACTGCCAATGATCTTAAAATGTGCATTAAGGTTGAAGCAACTGCTACCCTGCAGTTGCACTCACTGAAAGGGCTTTGCTTACCTTGCAATGCATATGGTAGATATGGTTAACAGTGATGAGGATTGCCAGCATCTACCCCATTGTGACAAAATGCTCACCAGAGAACTTTGGAAAAACTCACATTCAGTATTCTGACACTTAGATTAGGCTCAAATGGCAATAGATGGATGGGGAGGCAAAAAAAAGTTATCTACCACAGGTTTGTCTTGTGATCTTTTTCCACCTTTGTGTGGATTTGCCAGAGCAACTTAATTTTCTTCCTATTCAGCATTTTCTCAAATATGGTGCTTTCTTTCCGAGATAATATTGTTGGTCTAGAACTAAAATATTGCTTACAGACTACTCTCTCCTGGAGACTCTTTCCATATCATTTCCTTACAGAAATTGTCTGAATGATGTTTGTCTTCAGGTGACTTGCTCCATCTTCCTCTTGTAGTCTTTCTCTCTCCTGCTTATCCCTAATTTTTCCCTCCTCTTGTAATTCAGTTGATTTTTCTTGAAAGCTGCTCCTTGAAGTCTGGTCCTACCTCTCCCATCTTGAGGCACATCAATATGATTTTCTGGAAGACATAAACCACAAATGTTTCATGAGCACACAACATCAAAGTATTTCCTTGTAAAGGAAAACTTGCAGAATTCTCAGTCGTGGATTTGATTTGGGGAGGCAAGAAAGAGGAAGGAAAAGCATGAAGGAGGTGTTAAGAAGCCTGTACCTTCCCTCATCAGTTCTGTTTGGTGCAGAGTGAATTTTGTGCTGTGGATAGTTGCATTCTCCTCTTTTTATTCTGTATAGTCAGGGAGGCTAAGCTTGTTTCTCCCTGTTTGTATCAAGCTGAGCAAAACATTGTTCTGAGGTCTGGGTGCATGTCTGAACTCTGGTCCCTGTTCCTTTCATATGATGAGAAAATGTGCTTCTATTCCACATATATGTGGATAAATAATACATTTATGTGCTTTCCTCACAGAAGTGTTCCAAGTTTTCATAAGTTCTTTTTGCTTGCAGTGCCTCCTGCACACAACAAATGCTTTAAATCTGCCCCAACTTCCCCTTGTGCAGAGTGTGTGTAACTGGCTCTGGGATCCAGCCATCCAGCTGAACTGGCTGAAAGCCCAACTAGGGGAAAGCTTTTGAGATCACTAATCATAGTAATAAATTAAAGAAATGCATCTGTTTGCTCCAGCAGGCAACTGGTAATGGTACAAATACAAGCTGTTGGGTATCCAATAGCAACAGCACTTAATTAACTTCTCCCACCAGAGTTCTTTGCATGATGGGTAATCCTAAATTTATGTGCTACATTATACATATTGCATTCCATTAATGTATAAAGTATAAAGGAACATGTGGCTCAGGCAGCAGAATATCTGTGGGAATCAGCACATTTAGTGTTTCACCCATCAGAGACCTGAATCTCAACTTCCACCTCAGCAAAACTCTTACTAAAATTGCAGCAATAGATGTGCTCAACAGTGCAAGGTCAGGTATGCAGTCACCTGGGCTGTAGCACAACTGTATTATCCTAATTCAGATTTAGAACTGTATTATCTTCATTCAGATTTAGGCACTTCTCACAGTACTCTCAGCCAGGGAGGACCCCCGGGCAGAAAAATGCAGTTTTCTCACAACTAAACTCTGAGGATTTAAGCCAAAACTCAGTCACATGAAACCTATTTCAAGGTTGGACAACTGATTGCTTTCTAACAATCAAACAGCCTAGACAGCCTTATTCATGTCAGAAATACACAAAAAATGTACGTTGTTTTGTTCTGTCACTGTCCTTTTTCGACATTGGTAGAAATGCACACTAACACAACATGCAGACCTGCTTCTTGTGAGTCTGCAAGCAGCCTAAAGTTTAAATTGAGTTGTTTTTACCTAGAAGAGAGTCTCAGGAGACTTAGTTATAACTGATTTAAAAAATACCTGGGGAGAGAGAATCTGAAGAGCGTGAGAGCGTGTCAGGGCTGGGAGGCACCTACATCCTTCAGAGCACCTTCAGTTGTTTCTGTGGATTGCCTTGTGTGCTTTAGCTCTGATGAAAGGCTCTACCAACCTAAAATCTGCATAATTTAATTCACTAGACTGTTTGACAGGATGCAGATTTATTTATTTATTTATTTATTTTAATATAAATGTTTAGAGATGAAGCAGGTAGAGCAGCCATTTGGGTGCTCCAGGGCAGTTTTAAATGTGTCAGACCCATCAGCCAGTTACTCTTGTCCTCTACTTTAGAGTCCCAAAATTGCTCCTGGGCAGATCCTTCTTCCAAGGTTAATGCAAAATCAGAAGTGTCACCAAGCTAAAGCAAGAGTTACTGGAGTTGCTGGATCCAAAGACCATAAAAAAAGTTTATGGATGTTTCTGTGCTGCACAGAAGCTAAAATACTGCTCCTGTGAGTAGCTTCCATTTCCTGCCAGTTCTTCTCCCGAGTGCAGAAAGCCGTGGGAGGATGTGAACAGCAGAGCCAGCAGCACAGACCCCACTCTGCTCTGGAAGCCTCTCACAGGTGGGAAGCATCCACCCCGTGTTTTGCAAGCTCCTGGCTGAGCCTGGTGCTGAACCAACAGCCTCTCCCCAAAACCAAACCCTGACAGGACAGAGGCTGAAAGGTGCCCTTCCCCCAGGGCGTGTGACTGATTGATGGTTGGACCAGGAAAGGTGAGAGGCACTGCTTCAGATGGCTGGGGTTCCACAGAAAACACCTGCATTTTCCTAAGGAAGACAAGTGCTGATTGCCACGTGCACTTAGAGTGTTACACTCCAGTCTCCCATCACACTGTGCTTGGCAGCAGAAGCCCTGTGTTTGTCACTCCTGGGCACTCCAGGATTTTAATGCCTTTGGAGCCGAAGCCTGTGCTTTGGAGATGGTTCACATTGCTCCTACTCACTAGCAAAGGTTATTGTACCTTTAGATTAGATATTGGGAAGAAATTCTTTACCATGAGGACAGTGAGGCCCTGGCACAGGTTGCCCAGAGAAGCTGTGGCTGCCCCATCCCTGGAAGTGTCCAAGGCCAGGCTGGATGGGGCTCTGAGCAACCTGAAATCGTGGAAGGTGTCCCTGCCCATGGGGGCAGGGGGGTTGGAACAAGATGATCTTTAAGGTCCCTTCCTTTAAGGTCCCTTCCAAGCAATTCTATGATTTCCACTGCCTGACAAGGAAGTAGCCAACTAAAATATTGCCTCCTCTTTCACAGCAATAGCTTTGTACGGTGGCTTAGTTCCACTGGAAAAAAATGACACCCATTAGTAGTGAAGGAATGATTCAGAGCCTCTGGAGCCAAGTTTTTTTCAGAGATTTCTGCCATTTTCTGACAAATGAGGTAAACAGTTGCCATGTTCACCGTCACAGGGCCTCTTGCTAAGTCGGTGTTCACATAAAAGCATCATCCATCACCACAGCCCCTTCAGAGCTCAGGTACACCCTGGGCCCATCACTTACAGGAATTGTGGCTCACAGTTCACAGCAAAGGGACCAGTCTCTGCAAATGTCCAGATCTTCCTCTGGCATAAAATTGCACTGGTCTGAGCAGACCTGTTCTCATCCGTGCCTGTCGAGGTTCTGCTGCAATGCCTTCAAATCTGGCTGTGCTGGCAGAGGGGGAAAAGCTTTCACTCTCTTTGTTCCTAGGAAAAGCTGGGATGCCAGGCTGACAAACAGCTTCCAGCAATAAGAAGCCCTCGATGGATACACTGATTGTTACAGGCAATAGGAATGTCCTCCTTCCCCCAAAAATGGAAGGACAAGGGAGGACAAAGCACAATGCACCAGACTCTGTAAAAGCCTCCCAAGACTGAAAGGAAGGATGTGAGAAATTAATTGCAGGACAAGCACTAAATGAAAAGCCATTCAGTTGTCTGAATATATTTTAAACCAGAAAGAAATAGAATATAATCTAATCCCTCTGCCTGTGGAGTCTGCCAAAGAGCAGGGAGATAATTTTCATAGCTTGGCATCTGTACACTCCTATGGCTGGGTTATACATAGCATTTAATGCTACATCCAAAATGCACGTTGAAAAGTTGCTTGGGTTACCAAGTCTTAATACTTAAAAGTTCTGAAAGGCCAGAATGAACAGTGCTGGGGCAATCTCAATTTGGCTGTCTTGTCTGTGTGAGAGAAGATGGAAAGTCTCAGATTTTTTAGGTGGAGCTCATCATCTTTTTTTTTTTTTTATTTTGGGAGAACATCAAAACAGTGGAATGATTCGGGGTTTTCCGATGTAGGGGAAACTTCAACAACAGTTTACCTCAGGTTGGCTCAGCACTGAGGAGATTGAATGTTTAGGGTTTTTGAATTGACAAGGAGCACTTCAGCATTGAGCAGTGGCAGTGGGTGTTGCCATTTTCACAGAATCACAGAATATTTTGAGAGTTGGAAGGGACCCACAAGGATCAGAGTCCAACTCTTAATTTTGCCATAAGGATTTGCCTCTGTTTTCATCCCCAGTTACCTCATTTTTGGTGAAGCACAAATTCTCCTCTGGTCTAGCTATGAAATGCACCTACATGAGGTCAGATGAGAGGATGACCCTAAACAGTGGCCAGTTTTGTCACAGCCACTGTGAAAAAGGACCACCCCCACTGGTAGCCATTGCTGATGTTTCTAAAATAATGGCTGGCTCAGGGAACACAGACATCTGGTGCTTAAGAGTTTAAACAAAACCCAGGCCCTGGAAATTTTCAACTTGAAAAACAGACTGAAATTTCAGCTCCAGTGTTATTTCTGCTGCAGCTGACAATCCTGCAAGGCTGGAGAGAAATGTCAAAATATGTTTGAAAGCGAATACCTCGGGGTGATGTTAAGGCTCAAACAGAATAAATGTGCAACACATGCCTGATTTCATCAGAGTTAAGCAACCCCTTACCTGCAGACCTCAGGAAAGGTGATGGAAATACCTGGGATGTGTTACAAGAAGCTTTTTCCCCTGGCAGGTGTGATCTTGGTCATTGGGGAGACACATAAATGGGATCAACTGAAAGAATCCCTTTGCTGAGCAGTCAGAAATGTTTGGGATGCTTCTCCCCATCAGCTGGTAGGAAACACCATGGGACTTCATAACAGGTCCATAAGGCCCAGGGGGGCACAGCACAGATGTAAATCTTGATCATATTCTGTGGGGACATTTGGGAGGGGTTCCTATTTGAGTGCATGTACCCACTGTATTAGGGTGGCAGCCCATTCCTTACCTAGTGCAGGTGTGGGTGGCAACTAGAAATGTTCTTGGTGCTCTGGATTAAGCACAGATGGAGAACTGTGAACTACAGCTCCTGTGAGCCATGGGGAGCAGCACCAGAGTGCTCAGGAGATAAAGCAGTTTCTGTCAGTTCAAGAGAAGATTTTCTTAGCAGGATTTTTCTGTCTGCTGCTCATTTGGGTAACACAAACTGCCCTTTTGCTATCATGGCTTGGGAATTGTCACCTTTATTTAACACCATCAGATAAAAGGCAACAATGAGCATAAGAACAGCTGGTGCCTTCTGGAAAGACAAGGTGTATTTACAAGTCTCCTGCAACGTGCCCTGAGCAGTGCTGGGATGTGCTGTGTACTTCAACAT